GCTTGCTGCGGGGCTGAGCCCCGTCCCCGCCCGGGGCGGCGGGGCGGGAGAGCGACGGGCCCCAGCGCGGCGCAAAGGCTCCCGGCGGCCCCGGGACGCGGGGCTGCACCGTCCCGTCCGTCTGCCGACAAGATGCCAGTCCCGCAAACGGAACTACACAAAACCCGAACCCAGCTCCCCTTTTACTTAGCCACTTAGGCCGAGGTTTATATCTAGACTAGATATTTAGTCGCCTTCTTGCTGATAACACTATATATCTTCCAGCTAGAAAAGGAAGGAAATATTTCTGAATGTCTTTGCTGTTTGCACCGATTATGGGTATTTTATCAAACTGTGGTGCACAGTGGTCTGCACAGTAGATCTATCATTTTCAAGCATATTTTAGTGTCTTCGTATTACAGACAGACTAGATAGGAATGAATAGAATATACCAGGCTGTGGGAGGTTTGGGCTCTAATTCACAAAGGGAATATTCAGAATTTACAGGTGCTCCTGTGTTCAGCAAGCTTTCAGCCATTGATTTACCGACCTAAAAAGCCCAAACTCTATTCCAACAAGTGAAAGAAGAAATTATGATCACAGGAGCATACTTAAAAAAAGAGAGAGAAGAAAAGAAAAGAAAGAAGAAAGAAAGAAAAAGAAATCTTTTTGAAGTTTCGGCATCCTTCTAAGCTATTTTCCACTTGTCAGGCTCTATCCACATCTAAAATCCGTCATCCCTGTGCAAACGGTGTCTCGTTTAAGTTAAAAAAAACAAAAAAAAAAAAAAAAAAGGTCAGTCGAATCCATGCTGCAGATGAATATTTGCTGCAATTTACAAAATAATTCTAGTCTTAACTCTGGCCAAGTTTGTGGGTCCCCTTTCTCCACTACCTCTGTGTGGAGATTTATTTAGACAAAATATTCTACAGATCATCAGCAACAGATCCCTTTAGATGAAAATAGTGTGCATTTCTAGTACATTTCTCAGAAAGAAAAGGAAAAGTTCCATTAAAAATAAAAAGGAGAAACTATCACACTTTTAAACGATTTCCTTTTAAAACATACAAAAATCAAACACTTGGAAATATTTTTCTATTTTGTAAAATTTTAAATCAACGGGCAAGCCCGGTTTGATTTCCAAAATCTCTGACACTTATTGCCTCAGAAATTAATCGGTTGTTGATTTAATGATAAATAGTTTAAGCAAATAAACCTTCCTTTCTTCTTAAGGAAGCTCTCTTAAGCTGCAGTTGCAAGGTCAAGCAAAAATTAAAAGAGCAAAAATTCGGAAGGCAATAATTTTGAAAACGAATTTTAAAAAAATACAGTTAAAGATGGTGTATTTAGGAAGCCAGGGAGCAATAAGACATTCTCAGGCTGTGCTCCTATCCAGGACAGATGCTGCTGGTTCGGTTTACAGGTCCTTTGAATCTGAACATCTGCCCTGCATAGGGAGACAGCGGAAGGACAATTAAAATCTAATCCCTCCGAAAAGGAAACATTTTTAAACAGGGAGAACGCGTATTTTCTAGATGTTTTAAAGCTCACTGTTACTCAGGAAAATACAGCTTTTACCAGCCTTCACCACTGGGACTACTATTGACTTTTGCGCTATTTCGAATATGATCAGCAATTAGATAAACCAGTAATAGATGTCAGTTTTGTTCCTGAGATGCGTTTGCTAGTTAGAGATGCGCTTTTTTCTCCTCGCCATTTTCAGTGCAAACCATTCAATTTCGCCTCTGTTGTTACTTTGTCTTTAGGCGCAAAACACACGCAGCCTCATCCTTCCGGCTTCTGTCGCCTCCCCCAGCACTGAAAGCTCTCGGTGCTGGAAGATCACTAACAGACCGTGATCCTCATCACCAGTCATTGCGCTGCACTTTCTCTTGGTTTCTCACGAACACACACACCTTCCTCCCCGTCCCCTCCACCTCTTTTTCCAAGGCGGAAAGGCAGAAGCAAAGCGCAGCCCAGAACTACACGTCCCAGGCAGGCGGGGGGGCGCACAGAGTCCGAAACAAACCGTAGCAAACTTGGCCTTTACTTAACGCCCTCTCCCCTTTCCGGGGGTGGGGGGAGTTAAAGGCAAATTTACACACTACACGACCA